TGTTTCTAAGATAGGAAATGGAAAAAGAAAAATTAAAAGAAACAACAAATGGAAAGCATTAATACAATCATACCATTAGTTAAATTAAAGTAAATGAACTGAATCCTTTTATCAAAAGGGAAAGATTGTCAGTTTGAATTAAAAAAACAAGATCCAACTGTAACACTATTTTGGAGATACACATTAGACTCAAGGAAGTAAATAGATTGAAAGCAAAGGTTGTAAATAGATTTATTAGGCAAAAAGTAACTATAAGAGGGTAGAAATGTGTATATTAATACCAGGCCAGTAGACTTTCAGGCAAGGAATATTCCAAGAAACAATGAGATATATTTAATTGTGATAAAAGAGTCACTATGTTAGAAACATATAAAATTATAAATATAAAATTATTAGTTAAGATAAATTTTAAAAAATTATAATTTTATATTATTATTAATATAAAATTAGAATCATAAAATTATAAATATAAGATTATAAATCACTATGTTAGAAACATATGCACCTGACAAGAGAACCCCCAAATAAATTAAGCAAACATATTACAATTGAAGGGAGAGATAAACAATTCAACAAGTATAGTTGGGGAGTCCAATAATTCTATTTCAGTACTTTATAGAACAGTTGGACAGAGGCTCTGTAAGGGTATAGATACTTGAAAACCATCAAGCCACTTGACCTAACTAACATGTATGAAAAACTCCTCACAAAAGAGGAGAATACATATGTAAGCACAAATGAACATAACCAGGATGACTTAGATAGCTATCACTAGCAGTGCTGACATTAACACAGTTTCAGGTTAACCAATATTTTATGGAAAATTGTTTTGTATTAGTCAAACTCCTGATGCTGGATTTCCTGGATTGAAGTTGTAGTTTCCCATTTATCAGCTCAGACTCTTAGGGAAAGTTCCATGTGTCTTTGTCTGTTTTCTCTCCTGGAAATGAGTATAATAATGACTCCTTATGCAGTTATTATTAGGACTAATAAATTAATATATGTTCATTGTATAACTTAGAATCTAGCATATAATATGCACACATAATAAGTGTTAGCAATTATTTTTATTAATAGTGGTATACACTTAGGGAACAGGAGATGAGCATCTATAATTAAAGGTGCTTGCAATTGAGTCAAGAATATGATCAATGCAAAGAAAGTGATTAAAGACTTAATAACATGTGACAATCATGTGCCAATGTTTATCTATTTCAAAGCTGCTTACACTAGTTAATGTCTCTGTAGGTTTTAGTAATACGATGCATGGCCAAGGCCTGCCAAAGCTGAGGCCTCAGGTGAAACTAAGCTAGGGACTCCAGAATGAATTTGGGGTGTGTGCTAAGTAGGTAATGAGGAGAAAGATCAGTTAAAAGTATAAATGTTCTTTTATTTTTTTTTGTGCTGTGTACTTTAAAGTGGTAAATTTCTTGCTACATATATTTTTCCATAATGAAAGTATGTGGTTTTTTATTACTTATTTTCTTATAGCTTTGTTAATTTTTGATTTCTCCCTTCTGGTGTATTCTCTGTAGTTCTCCCACCACCATAGCAGCTGGAATCCATCTCCCCTATCCCTTGTGTTCTTCCCTCCCCTGTTTTGACCTCTCTCCCTCCCCCTCTTTATTCTTCAGGCTTCTTTCCCTTAGCATAATCCCTCCAGCTCCATCCATGTTGCTGCAAATGGCATGAGTTTAAAAGGATAGACATTCTTACACCAGAATTCAGAGACTAGATTGATAATTCTACACCGAGACTTAGAAGTGGCTTCATAGGCCTCCCTGGTGGCATAAGGGGTTATAAGTCTCAGCACTATGAAGCAGTTTGCAGTCCCTTGTAGCACGAGTTCGATCCCCGGCCAGCCAGGGATCAATCCACATGGTGAAGTAGACCTTTCCTGTCACGCCCGCTGCTCCCCTCAGCAGTGTATTTCAGTCAGTCTGCCTGTTCTGCTCCCCCACTCTGTCTCTGGTGAGTCCTCACACCTCCAACCTACACCCTAGCTCTTGTATGCATACATGAATAAAATAAATCTTAAAAATAAATAAAGTGGCTTCAGTGTCAGTGTCTGAAGATCTGTATGAGGATGCCTGGTTTTAGGGCTCATGCTTAACCCTGCTTGACAATTGTTGCTTGTCGGGCAGGAATGACACCGTGCAGGTTTTCTGATCCCATGCAGACCGGGTAAAGGAGCAGTCAGAGTCCTCAGTGGTTTTTTGCAGGTCTTTTATTGGGGTTCACCAGGCATATGGCAGGCAGGGGTGCTGGGGGGCCGGGAGGCTGGCAGTCCTCCCAGCCCCCAGCAAATCCGCACTCTCTCTGGGCTCTCTGGCGTTCTCTGCTTCTGCTTCTTTGCTTCTCTCATTGGCTTCTTTCTCAGCTTCTGCTGGCATCCCCGTGACGCCACCCTTAAAAGCACAGTCTTAGCTCAGCTGAATCCCATCTACCTATGCCCACACCCTATTCCAGGTGCCCGCCATCAGGCATGCCTTCAGGACAAGGATCCATCATCTATCCTGATGGCAGAAGGGCAGAAAAGCCTGATACCTTTTACCTTACCCTATATTGCTTCTCTTCTGCTGTTTAGGAAGAGTCACTCCACAATGTCTTAGGTTTTAGAGAAATGGATGGAAGTTGTGAGATGTATCTTAGCAGGATAATGGCCATCCTGACCAACTCCAAAATCAGTCTTTCCCATCCAGATATTTCTCCTAATAGCCAACTCAATGCTTCCTTCCCAAATGTTAATCTCAGGCTTGGGGAATGAGCTCCTTGTTAATGAGGTCTCCAGGCACCCTGTTGTTTGGATCTTGTCTTCTGCTCTTGATCACTTGGGAGAAGCCAATGCTGTATGGGAAGACAGACCCTGGGGTCTGGGGCAGACAATTTGCACCTTCATAAGAAACCTCAAGGCAGATATGTTTGTGACCCAAACAGGAGCTTCTTCTAGCAGGAGGACCTGTGAAAATCTAGAGGAAATCAATGTGACTTTCTTTGTCCTTCTATTCTCAGGCACGAGAAGTGAAAGCTGGGATAGGCATTATTTCCTCACTCTCGGGTTTCTTTTAGTTGTCATATTCTGGGTGGGATCTAAAGCTTTGACAGCAAAGGGGGAATTCCCATTAAACCATAGCTCTGCTTGGTATGATTTTAGTGACCTTCAGATAGACTATTTAGTAAAATAGCTCGTTTAAATCAAATAATCTACACTCCAGTAACTAATGGGTTTTAAATAGTTTGAAGAAGGGAATTGACAAAAATCTGGGAAACATGTTTATAATTATTAGTTAAGAACCCTATCTGTTATTGTAGGCAGTCAACTTCCAGTGAAGGATGGGACTCTGAGGTGTGAGAACAGCTCCCTGGAAGAGCCAAGGAGAATACTCGGTGAGTTTCACCTCCTTATCTGCTAGGATAGGGATGCTTATTATAGAATCTGCTCAGTTATCATACAGAAAATGACACCCTATAGAAGGGGGAATCTGATCCCTCACAGAGAAGATTGTGACTTCTAAGATTTTGTCAATATGGATGTGTAAAGTCATGTAGAGAGAAGGGTTGTCCGACTTCAGATGCCTTTCACTGGGTCCCATTCAAAGTGCAGGGCAAAAATCTAAGCTCCCTGAGGGCAAGGGCCATTTCTTAGTCATCTTTGTTCTCATAGCACTAGCACCATTCTGATACTTTATGACTTCTCAGCGCATTGAGTAACCAAAGAAGTGATTTTATTTGAATTTGAAGCAAAATTTTATTATTCACAGGCAACTAACAAAATCAGGGGCAATAAGATAAATAAGTTCTCTTCCTTGAGAAAAAATGTAGATAGTTTCCTTATCCATGATTGGCCAAGGGTGAACTTTAACTTTCTAATTTATTGACATTTATATGAAAAAAAGAAATGTTAATAAGAGCTCCAAAGTCAAAGACACTATCTGACTTTTGAGGGTTTGACTATCTGTACCTTCCCTGCTTTTTGTTTCTGCTCTTCCCTTCCTCACCTATATTTTCTAAACCCTATTAATGATGAGAATCCTTCTCTTGTCAGTGTTTTCATTTCCCCACCCCATTCTGCACCTCGTTTATTCTGACTGTTCTAGTATGGTCTCCCCCAAAATGGTGCCAGCATGGAGTGTTTTAAAGCTGGTCTTTGAATTTAGGGCTGACAAATGGTCTGGAAGAAGAAAGAAAGAGAAATATTCTAGGCTACAGGTGTGAGTAAGACCTTCTAGCCAAGAAAGTGGAATTGAATTATAAGATTAACCTGGATGAGCTTCAATTCAAGTGTTTAAGTGTGATGAAAACTGTGATTTATAGAGATGAGTTCCAAACTATCAATTATAACCCAGGAGGCAATCTAGATGTCACTGAGATTGCCCCTATATATATTCTCAGGATGGACTGCTGTGATCTAGGAGAAGTAAAATGTTGGGCATCTTCAAGGGGGGGTGGATTAGAAGCAAAACTGAAGACCTTATTCCATCTAATCCACCCCATGTTGGGATCGTGTAAGTAGTTCTGGTCAATCCAATTCAAGAATGATTTTTAAAAGAGCATAAAAAGTACCTGTGAATAGTTGGAAGGGAAATGATGACATTTTCAAAACCAAGGCTAGGATAATTACATCTTGTTTCCGAACTTTAGAATGCTCAACTGAAGTCTCTTGCCTTTACCCTGTATCTCTTAGATATTTGAACTGGTTCATTGGAGGAAAATAAGAAGGAATAACTACTTATAAACTCACTATTTAATAAAGCCTTCCTATATGTCAAGGGCTATGTCAAATGCTTCAAATACTTTAACCCTTTTATTACTCATGGAAACTCTATGAAATATTACTATAATCAATTTACAACATAGGTAGTAAATATCATGCTTAAAATTGAAAGGAATTTATATAGAAAGGCCCCATTAGCAGGATTTTTAATTAAATGCTATGACAACATTCAGGAGGAAGACTTGGACTAAGGTCAGTCTTAATGAGGGAGGTTAGTTAGGGGACCATGTGTCAGTACAAAGCATGGTAATGGTAGTAAGAAGTTGGAGAAAGCATCAAGAGGCCAGGACAGAAAGGAGAGCATTTCAGGAAGCATTATTTTTAGTGTAGAAAAGAAAAAGGAGGTAATTAGGATGATTCTTAACTTTCTGTGTGGAGGTATTGGTTATCCCTGGTGGGATTTATCAGGAGTAGATGTGGGTTTAAGAGACAAGGTTAAATCTACCCCAGTACAGTCTCTAATTTTGAGTTCACATGGAGTAAGCTCATTTCTATCCCCTCACAATTTGGAATATGCAAAACTGAAGTAAAAAATAGAACATCTGGCCCTTCTCTGATGAAATATATTTTATCTTTGCTTTCACGTTAGGAAAACCTATTCCTTATTTCAAGGGAAAGCCTCAGATTTATTCCATCCTCTTGCTGCTTTCGGCTAGAATTCAAGGAGCTAAGCTAATATCTGCAGAGTCTTATCAACCCCTTTTTCATGATCTTAGAAGATATTTGGTATAGGGTCTACAAAAGGAATATCTAGTAGAAGTGCTCTCCTTTCTAGTCTTTCACAATCACAGTGGATTTTAAGTGTGGGGCTGAGGGGAAAAAAGCAAGACTGTGCGTGCTGAGGGAGAAATCATCCTATACCCTCAGAGGCACTTGGTATGACAGTGAGTTCTGAGTGTTGAAAAAACACTAGCTCGTGTATCTTTTATCCTTCACCTAGGTCACTCTTCTCATTGGATCTTCAGCAACCTAAATCCAGAGAATTAGAAGAAGAACTAGAGAGCTGTGTTTCTTTCTTACCCTGGACTTACCTCTTCAATGGCTGGGTAATTATTTCTACAAATATGTCCTTTACTTTGTCTCTACTTTCCCTCAGATTTCTCAGATCTCTGCTCCCAAATGTAGGATGCTGGGGTCACTCTTCTACACCAAAAAATGGTGGGCAAATGTGACGTCCCTGAGCAATTGACCAACAGCTGAATACTGATGGACCTTGAAGTTCACAATCTGCCCAGAGGAGGACACACCCTGTAGTGAAGATCTTGGTCCAGCCTCCTTTTTCCTGTTGACTCACCATACCTTTCTTCCCTTTGCCTAGCTATTTTAGACCTAGACCTTCTTCACTGTCAAAGTCAAACTCCACGGTTGTGCTTGAGTTCCTCTTTGAAGGTTTCTCCAGCTTTGGGAGACAGCACAGGCTTATCTTCTTCATTGTCTTTCTAACATTGTACCTGCTGACTCTCGCTGGCAATGTCATCATTGTGACCATCATTCGCCTAGACCGGCACCTCCATATCCCCATGTACTTTTTCCTAAGCATCCTGTCCCTCTCTGAGACCTGCTACACTGTGGCCATCATCCCCCGTATGCTTGCTGGCCTCCTGAATCCCTACCAGCCTATTGCTATCCGCAGCTGTGCTGCTCAGCTCTTCTTCTATCTCACTTTTGGTATCAACAACTGCTTCCTACTCACGGTCATGGGATATGATCGCTATGTGGCCATCTGTAAACCCCTGAGGTACTCAGTCATCATGGATAAAGACACCTGTGTCCAGTTGGCATGTGGGTCACTGGGAATTGGCCTGGGCATGGCCATCGTCCAGGTAACATCTGTATTTGGCCTGCCCTTCTGCAATGACTTTGTCATCTCTCACTTCTTCTGTGACGTGAGACCCTTGCTGAAACTGGCCTGCAGAGACACCACTGTCAATGAGATCATCACCTTTGTTGTCAGTGTCTGTGTTCTTGTCTTACCCATGGGCCTGGTCTTCATCTCCTATGTACTCATCATCTCCACAATCCTCAAGATCGCCTCCGCCGAGGGCCGGAAGAAGGCCTTTGCCACCTGCGCTTCCCACCTCACTGTGGTCATCATCCACTATGGCTGCGCCTCCATTGTCTACCTGAAGCCCAAGTCCCAGAGTTCCCTGGCTCAGGACAGGCTCATCTCAGTGACCTACACGGTCATCACCCCCCTGCTGAACCCTGTGGTGTACAGCTTGAGGAACAAGGAGGTCAAGGACGCCCTGTGTAGAGCTGTGGGACGGAAGCCCCTCTCCGACTAATGAGGCAAGTTTGTTGGAGGCGTTTTCTTTGATTTTATAACTACATGTTGATTTTTATTGCTGTTTCAACAATGTCTATAAGTACGGCATCGGGAAGAATAAATTAAGATGATGGGTATGAAACTGGAGGCTTCCACTTGAGCTAATAGTGGTTCCCCATGCCCTACTACAGAGAGAAGACCAATGGCTAGACATATACTTAAGAATGTAGGGGAGGGTGTACGCTGTCTGGATCGCCCATATCCATGTTCCATCTCACACATGTACACAGCTACACACCCGAGAATGTGTTAGTTACACAACTCATTGAAGGCACAAAGTTCAGCAGGGTCTAAAAATTTAACAAAGGGTTTGGAAACCAACTTGGAGAGACACTTTTTTATTATTAAGGGTGTCAGAGCAATTTGTGCAAACTCTCTAGTAAGTATGTGAATAGACCCACATGCATATACTTTTCTGGGGACATTAGAGCCTCTCTTGTAATCTACTCTTAGAGATGTGATGGTCTCGACATGACTGGGTAAGAAAACTCCAATTGTGCAGTGGAACATGCTAGAGTGACTCACCCAAGAAAAAGGATGGAGGTTGGGAGGAGCCAGGAATAGCCAGTTATAGTTCCTTTGGCAGAGTAGACCCTAAACTCTTTGAAATAGTGTTAAAAATGTAAGCACTTTACTACAACGTCTAAACATATGTACTAATGAGCAGAAGTCTGAAGCTTGACTTATATAAGAAAGTTTCCAGTAAGCTCCTAAGCCTCTGGAGATTAATCTTCAGAAATTTCTTCTTAGAACGCCTAAGAACTTCAAACCATGAAAAATGTTAAAAACAACATTTCATTTCTGAGAATGCCAGGTGCAAGCAGAAGCTCTGGTGCAAGGAGCCCCCCCGCCCTTCCCCAACCTCAGCCTTCCAGCCTGAGCCTCAAACACAGCTCCCACAGTGCCCAGAGTCCTGTTGATCCTTGGGGTAACCCTGCAAACAATGCACCACCTGGGAGAGCGTCTTCAGTCTGCTGGTTGCTGTGGGTAAGACCAATAAGTGCAGACAATCAAATCTTCTAAGCAAGTTAATATGTTTCATTTTTAAAAGGACAGAGCAGAGATAAAAGATATTTTTGCCCTCATGTCCAGATTCCTAGAAATGATAGCACCAGTTCATTTCTGTGAGGGTAGTAAAAAAAATTCATAAAAATCGTTGCTTAGTAGTTCTGCTTAATCTAGATAACAAGCTAGGTAAAGGCGGTGGGCAATGTCATGCTGTCTTGGGCTGACAGCTCTTGCTGAGTCCCTCCTCAAAGCCCCACCCATCCAAGGGCAGACAGCCTCCATGATGAGTGTATGTCAGGATAAAGACTCTCCATCATCAAAATAGGAGGTGACTGTGAAGGGATCTCCCAGCTCTGGGTCTCACCTATGAGATGGTATGAAGTTTTTCTGTGACTACATCACATTTCAACTTCTGCCCACTTCCACTTCCTTCTCGTCCCCCAGATACTGATGCTGAGCCCACTCCCTCATAAACTTGTTACCTCACATCTCTGTTCAGTCTGTCTCCTAGAGACCCCAAAACCGGCAATATTTCAGGCTCGCATTTCTGACACAGCAATTGGTAAGTGAAGACACCAAATTTTCGGCCTTGATATTTTCTAGTGAAGGCAGAAGGTTTCTGGCTCCTATATTTTAGTTAAACAAATAATTTCATCTATTAATTGAACAATATTTACTGTGACTCAATTTAATTGGCAGCAGTGCAGTGTTAACTCCTTGGAAATTGGTTAAAAAATAAAAAATTAGAATTTTTCTCGGAACCGTTTCTTTGTCTTCAAAACTCTTAGAGCAATTTCAATTTTATTATAGCCTGATGCCCTTACCTTGCAGAGAGGTTTCTGACCACTCTCAGTGATATTTAAAAGATTGCAAATAACAGGAAGGACTAAAAGTGAACATATGTCATTCAGTTTTCAAGAAGGAAAAGAGTGTGGGAGTATAAGTGATAAGTACAAGTGAACTTGACAGTGATCCTGGCACATTAGTAAAAATTTGTAGTGGAAATATCATGAGAATTGGAGGCCCAGATGGGGCCAGGGGCTGGGTTCCAACTATTGTGAGCAGAGCAGATGACCCAAGACAGGAAATCAGTACCGTTCTCCGAGGTTGCTCAGGACCCAGGCCAAATGTGTCTGCCACTTTCAACATAAAGCTCCCATTGCTGTGTTCAAGAGTGTGGCTTACTGTCTCATTTTCTTTTGATGAGAACAGAAAGAGTCAAGCCTTTGTTCAAGTTCTCAACCCCCCAACATACTAACAAGGTGGATTTTTTCTGAGCTTCCACTTTTGAGATTGTTAGGGAAACTTGTCTTCCATTGGCCACTAGTAGGGAGCTATGGCTTGATTACCAAGTAAAACAACCCCCAACTACTGGAGTTCGTGATGATTTGTGAAAGTCAGTTTGGAACAGCAGTTACAGGAGAGAAAATCTGCTCTGCGAACTGCCCTAGAGCAATTTGGTAAGAGGTTTGAAGGAATAGAGGAGACCCCAAGGGTAAACTGGGGGAATTATTTCTATTCCAGTTGTCTATTCCAATTAACATACATACTCCTTCTCTGGCATAGAGTAAAAGTATTTCACGTACATTAAAATTTTTAAAACTCCTTTATAAATGCCATATTTGCGGGGGGCATGAAACATTCTAGGCCTAACTGTGTGTTCTACATTCCCTATGGGACAGATGTATGAATACCAGGAAGAAAATAGATATAAATCGATGGTAGACACAAGTCTGAGACAAACCTGAAATTCAGGTGTGTATAGGCACACAGTGAAGGGAACTTAGAGACCACCATGTCCATCAATTCCTTCTACAAAGAAGAAATGGAATCTCACTGCAGGTAGTCACATGCCCCAGTCACACAGCTAGTTAATAGCAGTTTGAACACTTTCAGGTTCCTGCTCCATCCATAGCTCTCACAATCTTGGAGTAAGGGGTCAGGGGGAGGTGAAGGAGAATGATGATACTCAAGCACCCAGAAAATCCCCCAGAAGATGCGTTCGAGGCTGATCAAGGGTGGACTTCCATTCATACAAATAGCTCTCGTTTTATTTAACTCTAGTTCATTTGACCCAATAAAGAAGTAAGTGACTCATTCTTTTCTTGCTGCATCAAATACTATGTATGGAACAGTGAAACAAGATGTGTTCACAGATGTTGTGGCAAGGCTGTGGTATCAAAGCTGTAATCTAGAACCGACCACCTGTCTTTTCTCTAGGGCAGGGGTGAGACCACACACCCCTATGAGGACCTTCCCTGGCTCGTTGTTGCTGGAGACATCTCTTCTCTACTCACTAGGCCTATTATTATATGATACTGAATGACAAGGCTATTCTCTGGGAATCTGGTCAATTTTACCTCTCCAAAATGATTTTTTTTCAAAGTACTACAAGGAATCCTAAAGCCAGAACCTCAGAGGGACGAATAACAACGAAAGAAGACCAAAAAAAAAAAAAAGTTATTAAAAGAATAAATAAATAAAATCAAAGGAAAGACAAACATAATGGCAAATACAGATGCTAACATATCAATATTAACTCTAAATGTAAATGGACTAAACTCTTCAATAAAAAGACACAGAGTTGCAGCCTGGATTAAGAAACAAAACCCAACCTTTTGCTGTCTCCAGGAAACACATTTAGCTACAAAAGATAAAAATAGGCTCAAAGTCAAAGGATGGAAAACAATCCTGCAAGCAAATGGGCCAAAAAAGAAAGCAGGAACAGCTATACTTATATCAGATAAAACAGACTTCAAACTCAAAAAAATAAAAAGAGACCCCAATGGTCACTACATTATGATTAAGGGGACAATACTTCAAGAAGAAATAACACTCATTAACATATACTCACCAAACGAAAGAGCACCAAAATATATCAGACAACTGTTGTCCTCTCTGAAAACAGACATCAGAGAAAACACATATGTAGTGGGAGACTTCAACACACCACTATCAACAATGGATAGATCAACAAGACAAAAAATAAGTAAAGAAACTAAAGCTCTAAATAAGGACCTAGAGCATTTGGGCTTAACAGACATCTATAGAACACTAAACCCAAAAAAAACGGAGTACACATTTTTCTCAAGCGCACATGGATCATTCTCCAGGATCGATCACATACTGGGGCACAAGACAAACATCAACAGATACACCAAGATTGAAATCATACCAACCATCTTTTCTGACCACGAAGGCATCAAACTAGAAATAAATCATAAAAAGAAGGCAAGGAACTATCCTACCTCATGGAGATTAAAAGCCACACTACTGGAAGACCACTGGACTAACGAGGAGATCAAAGAAGAAATTAAAAAATTCTTTGAATTGAATGACAAGGAGGACACCAATATCCTAAATGTATGGGATGCAGCAAAAGCAGTAATAAGAGGAAAATATATAGCAATAGAAGCTCACATCAAAAAACAAGAAAGAACTCAAAGAAACAACCTAATCTCGAAGCTCAAAGATCTAGAAAAAGAACAACAAAAAAACCCCAAAACCAGTAGAAGAAAAGAAATAATAAAAACCAAAGCAGAAATAAATGAAATTGAAACTAAAAAAACAATCCAAAAGATCAATGAAACCAAGAGCTGGTTCTTTGAAAAAATAAATAAAATAGACAAACCCCTAGCCAGGCTCACAAAGGAAAAAAGGGAGAAAGCACAAATACACAGAATCATAAATGAAAGAGGAGAAATCACAACGGACACAGCAGAAATCAAAAGAATAATCAGTAACTACTATGAACAGTTATATGGAAACAAGTTCAACAATCTAGAGGAGATGGACAAATTCCTACAACTCTACAATCACCCAAAGCTAGATAAAGAAGAAATAGAACACCTAAACAGACCAATTACAAGGAGCGAAATTGAAATGGTAATTAAAAACCTCCCCAAAAACAAAAGCCCAGGACCTGATGGATTTACAAATGAATTCTACCAAACATTCAGAGACGAATTAGTGCCTATCCTTCACAAACTCTTCCAAAAAATTGAGAAGGAAGGGACAATACCAAACACGTTCTATGAAGCCAATATTACACTAATACCAAAACCGAATAAGGACAACACAAAAAAGGAAAACTATAGGCCAATCTCCCTAATGAACACTGATGCAAAAATCCTCAATAAAATTTTAGCTATCAGAATCCAACAATGTATCCATAAGATAATTCACCACGACCAAGTTGGATTCATTCCAGGGGCACAAGGATGGTTTAACATCCGAAAATCAATCAACGTTATCCAACACATCAACAAAAAGAAATATAAAAACCATATGATAATATCAATAGATGCTGAGAAAGCTTTCGACAAAGTGCAACACCCATTCATGATAAAAGCCCTTGAAATTCTTGGGATACAAGGAACATACCTCAACATCATAAAGGCCATCTATGACAAGCCAACAGCCAGTATCATTCTCAATGGTGAAAAGCTGAAAGCAATTCCATTAAGATCTGGAACAAGACAAGGATGTCCACTCTCACCACTGCTTTTCAATATAATACTGGAAGTCCTAGCCAGAGACAAGAAAATAAGACAAGAGAAAGACATCCAAGGAATCCAAATAGGAAAAGAAGAAGTCAAACTATCACTATTTGCAGATGATATGATAATATACATAGAGAACCCCAAAAACTCCACAGAAAAACTAATTCAACTCATCAATCAATTCAGTAAAGTGGCAGGATACAAAATCAACACGCAAAAGTCAGTAGCCTTCCTATACACAAACAATAAATCTGAAGAAGAAGAAATCAAAAAAACCACCCCTTTTATTATCGAAACAAAAAAAATCAAATATTTGGGAATAAATCTAACAAAAGAGGTAAAGGACCTATACAAAGAAAACTATAAAACACTGTTAAAAGAAATAGAAGAAGACACAAAGAAATGGAAAGACATCCCCTGCTCATGGATTGGAAGAATAAACATTATTAAAATGGCCATCCTACCAAAAGCAATATACAGATTCAATGCTATTCCAATCAAAATCTCAATGGCATTCTTCAAAGAAATAGAACAATTATTGATGAAATTCATATGGAATCACCAAAAACCCCGAATAGCCAAAGCTCTCCTGAAAAAAAAAGAAGGAAATGGAGGCATCACACTCCCAGACTTCAAACTATACTACAAAGCCATAATCATCAAAACTGCATGGTATTGGAACAAGAACAGACATACAGACCAATGGAATCGAATAGAAAGTCCAGAAATAAACCCACAGATTTATGGTCAACTAATCTTTGACAAAGGAGCAAAGACTATGCATTGGAGCAAAGAAAGTTTGTTCAATAAATGGTGCTGGGAAAACTGGGTCGCTACATGCAAAAGAATGAAGCTTGACCACTACCTCACACCATACACAAAAATCAACTCAAAATGGATTAAAGAACTAGACATAAGACCTGAAACCATAAAATACATAGAAGGAAATATAGGCGAAACACTACGGGATTTGCACATCAAAGACATCTTTACAGACACATCACCCAAAGCAGTGATAGTGAAGAGAAAGATCAACAGCTGGGACTACATCAAATTAAAGAGCTTCTGCACAGCAAAAGAGACAATAACAAAAACAAAGAGAAACCCCACCAACTGGGAGAACATTTTTGCACCCAACACTAATGATAAAGGACTGATCACAAAAATCTGCAAAGAGCTGATGAGACTCAGCAACAACAAAGAATATAATCCAGTCAAAAAATGGGCAGAAGAGCTAAAAAGAAACTTCTCTGAAGAGGAAATGCAAATGGCCAACAGACATATGAAAAAATGTTCAACATCACTTGTAATCAGGGAAATGCAAATCAAAACTACCATGAGATACCATCTCACACCAGTGAGAATGGCACATATTAAAAAAACTAGCAACAACAAATGTTGGCGAGGATGTGGAGAAAAAGGAACTCTTGTGCACTGTTGGTGGGAGTGCAAACTGGTCCAACCACTATGGAGAGCTGTGTGGAGATTTCTGGACCTACTAAACATAGAGCTTCCATATGATCCAGCAATTCCACTCCTAGGTATTTACCCAAAGGACACAGAAACATCAATTCCAAAGAGCACCTGCACTCCTATGTTTATAGCAGCACTGTTTACAATAGCTAAGCTTTGGAAACAACCCAAATGCCCAAAAATAGATGACTGGATCAAGAAGATGTGGTACATATATACCATGGAATATTACTCAGCATTCAAAAAAGATAAACACATGCAATTTGCAGCAACATGGATGGCACTGGAAGGGATCATGCTCAGCGAAATAAGCCAAAAAGAAAAGAAAAATACCGGATGGTCTCACTCATAGCAGGAATCTAGAAAACTTAAATAAGGGACCAGGAAAATGAATATAAGAAAGTGAAAATCAAAATCAACAAAAACTATGAACCAGAGACACTTTTTGGGGTGGGGGGCGGGAGGGGAAGGATTGGGGTCAGAATGGGGCGTTTGCAATTGTATGGGGGAATATAAAAATAAAATTTAATATTTAAAAAAAAAAAAAAAAAAAAAAAAAAGTAGATAAGTATTAAGGATTTTCTTTTTTTAATTTATGAATTAATTTTATTTTTTATTTATATCTTTTACATCACTGTGTATTCCCTGTAAAATTCCCAGGAATTTCATTCCAGATACCTGTTAAAAATAAATCTCTAGTAATTCCCTCTTTGCTTTATGTGCCAAAGACATCCTTTGCAGAAAAACAGTCATAGTAGTCTCATGGATATTTGTGACTTTCCCCTGCCCAGGTGCACTTCTTCCTTAGGTACACTAAGTTCACTAAGTTGTAGAACATAGGTAAACCATAGGTGTCCCAATCTCATATTGACCTTGTGAACTCAGATTCTACACTAATAACATGCTGCTTCCCTCCCCACTGCCCTCCCCAAGGCCTGGTGTGACTGTTTCCATGGGCAGAGGTGAGGGGAGCAAAGAATGGGTCTTGAACTTGCTAGAAGTCTCTAATTTTTTATACATCCTTGTATTTACAGAGAACTTCCAGATATAGTCTCCTGCTGGATTTTCAGAAGAACATTAGCAGGTAGACAGGCTGACTATTATCATTCATATTTCACAAATAAAATACTAAGACCTGGGAGGAATAATTCTTTCCCAAACTTCAAGCCTAGAAAACAAAAGCCAGTACTTGGATCTGTGTCTCCTTATGTGTGGCTTAGTCTCGTTCTGAGAATGGCTTTAAAAGAGTCTGAATCTTACTGCCATTCACTCCATGGGAGAAGCCTGGGCCTCTGATGGATTTGTTAGGACATAAAATGAAAGGGATTCAACACACCAAAAGGTCTCCATTCTGTGCTGAGATCTCTTCAGTGATGTTAGGGATGAAAGTTCTTCCTACACACTAGAATTTCCCCAAGTGTCTCTAGTTTGGGGATGACTGCAGGGCCTTTCAAGGTACAAGTTTAAGAGCTATTTGAGGGCAAAATAATTACAGTGGCTTCCTCAAGCCTCATCCCCAGAATCACACAGCTCAAGACCTCCCCAGAGTCTGCCAAGCACAAGAAGCTCACAGAATTGCTGAAAGAGCATAAGGTGGCATCAACCTCACAGCATCTTGCCACAGCTTCTCATTCCTAGCTCATGCTTACAGGAGTCAAAAGGGGACATTTCTAACCTAGAACTTCATGGTTCTGCCTCTAGAAGCAAAAAAGAAACTAGCAAGCCTCGAATACTTAGAAGCTTCATATTACGTGATTTCATGCTTATTTTGTTCTAATTGCACTTCTCTTTTACAGATGCTAATAAATGAATGAATTTGTTTATTCATTTCTCTGATGTTTATTGAGCTATTACATGCCACTGAATCAGTTTGGGTTGGATAATTAAGCAGTTGTATAAAACCTTGAGTGCAGACCTTTCAATGTACATTTTGAGCTGGGTTTGACGACTGAGAGCAATTGCTGCTGCAAATGGGTCTTAAACCATGGTGTCAGTTCTTTTTGGGGTCTGACTTATAACGTGGGTTCATAGGTCTGCCCCCTTTCCTGGTGCTCTTAATCATCAAAAGAAATTTGAACTCTTGCCGGGTGAAGATAAACAATACTGTGTCCACAGCAAACAAAATCACCACCAACAATGGGATAAGAAGCTGTAGCCAGTAGATGTTTTGGTGAGGACCTGGATGCAATAAGAAAGAGAACTCACGTTAGGGACTGAAGATTCAGGCCATCATCCTCCCTAAGAGTAGGGCCCAGCCTACTCCTCCAGCTTCAGCACAATAGGAGATTAGGAGCAGAGTTCCTGAGTTTGGGTTCCTGGAGCATCCTGAATATTTCCCTGTCTAACTGCTACACGACTAGCCAATGTGCCCTAGTGGGAAGGCCATAGAAAAGAGGAGCACTTTATTAGGGTTAAGACCGATCTCCTCATATGATTTGGGGATGAAAGGAGACAAATGATGGCAAGGAGTCATAGTTTACTTATTTAGCAATCAGTCATCATATCTTGCTTGCCTGTTGTATGAAGTGAAGATATTGGACAAGATCATCTTTAAGGTGCCTACAATTCTACTATTTTGTGATTCTGGTACTCAATTTGCAATATTCTAGTTTTTATGATTACTGTATGAATCACAGCCAGAAATCCCTTGAGACCATGTAGGCAAGTGGCCCTCAATACTAGCTGCACATTTCCATTACCTGGAAAAGCTTTTTAAAATACTGATGGCCAGGCCCTACTCCAAGTCATTAAATCAGAATCTCTAGGGATTAGAGAGGGCCATCAATATTTAAGTTCCTAAGTGATTCTAATGGTATGTAAACCAAATCTTTTTTTTTTTATACATAAGAATACTAGAAGCCAGAGACAGTTAAATGGTGCTTAGGTCTCAAATTAGTTAACAGAGAACTGCCATTAGACTTTAATACTGGCTGCAGTTCTCATGCTTTTTTAGATATTAGTCTGACTAAAATCTTCCAGGCAAAAAGTCTAACTTCCCCCTTGCAAGGCAAATATTTGGAAAGCTCCCTCTCTTATGTGAAGGTTGGAAGGAGTAGTCTCTCTCACGGGCTCCAGAGGAAATCCATCTGCTCTCCCTTCTCTTATCATACCTTCTGTTTTCTCTGATACACAGGCAGGGAGTCTAGAGATTCGGTTTCCTTTCTCACCTGCCTGGGCTGGAATAGACTCCTCAAGTCTATTCTTCATATTCTTCATTCTTTCCACTTTGAAACTCCCTTTCCATTTGATAAACATAACTCTTCTCCCCAGGAGCAACAGATGACTTTGAGATCAAAATGGTAATTGCAATCTGTTATGCTTGGATGGTGTTTAACATTTTACAAATCCATTTCACAAATACTACCACATTTAATCTTCATAAAATTCCATAATGTGAGCAGGTATTACTATTACCATTAAACAAATAAGATCTAAGACAGAGATGAGGGATATTTTCAATTCACATCTCTTGATTGTAAATCTAACCAACTTTCCAAGATTACACAGCTGCCCCACTCTACCAGCTGCAACCACTTCAGGCTCGGATGGCCCCTCTCCCCTGCTACAGACTCTTTACCTTTCTTTTCAGCTCACCTTTTTTTACAGTAATTTTGAGGGAACTAGAATTATACTGAAATTTCAAAATGCTTCCCACGCAGGAGTAGTTGCCGCTGTTTTCTATGGTGGCGCTGGCAATGGAGATGTTGTGATTCTCATACCAGTACTTGAGAGCTATGCCATCCTTGTAGTATGTCACCTTTTTGACTTCCCAATTCTTCCAGCCATGACACCTGATGAAGAGGGTATCACCCTCTATCACCTCCTCAGCAGTGGCCTGAAGGAGCAACCAGTCTGAAGAGCATTCATTATGTTGTTTAACAATGAATGAATGGATGGGTGGATAGATATATAGATAGATAGATAATGAAAGGCCATATAGAGTGTGTGTGTCAAGAATCACTAGCCCATATTTTTGTCATAAGTTTGCTAGAAAGGAAATGCAAAATGAAACACTGAGAACCTATCTTCTATGTTGATAAACCTTCTCTCCCCCTGAGAGTAAGTCTGGACCCCTAATGTCTCTCTGATCTCAGCCATGCTGAACTCCTTCATGGAAGGTCTGAAACCCAGGCCTTTTAATGCATTAGTCAATGAAACAGAAAAAACATCCTCTGCTGAGGGGGCCTCAGCCTAAAGGAAGGTTTCTTATGCCCCTTTCTCCCTCGTAGGAATCATTAATTCTATTAATCATAGTTGTCCTCAAAACTTCCTCAGAACATGAATTGAAATTTTAGTTGATGGCTGGTGTATTTATTTAGCATCTCTTCCTCATTTGATATTAACCTCAAAAGGCCAGAGACCATGTCTTTCCCTTATATCTTCAGTGTCTAACACAATACCTGGGAGTTGGTAGGTAGTTAACAAATATTTGTCAATAATGAGTCAGTAAAAGATGAGTTGGATTCTATGACTAATATTTTAAGAGTTGAAAACATTCACTAAAGGAGAATTTTGAATGAAAATATGGCTAATTTGTAAAAGCGTATTTTATTTAGGAACAATCCTTGAGGACTTTTCTAGAATCCACTCCAAGAAAATGGAGAAGCAGTTCTATGTTGCATTCGTTTGTATTTGGAATTTGAATATGGACATTAAAACACCTTTTCATTCAAGAGAAAAATTTGGGGCCTCCCTGGTGGCACAAGTTGTTGAGTCGCAGCGCTAGGAAGCTATCTGCAGCCACTTAAGCTTGAATTCGATCCCTGGCCAGGGAGCTAACCCACATGGCACAGCAGACCTCTCCTGTCTTGCCTGCTGCTCCCCTCAGCAGTGTATTTCAGTCAATCCACCTGTTCTATTCCCCACTCTGTTTCTGGTGAATCTTCTCAAATCCTGCACCTCTGGCCTCTAACCCAGTTCTTGTATGCATAAACAAATAATAAAAGGAAAATATGAAACATTTTGACAATTAAAAATATTTTTATATTTAAAATATAAAGTAAAATACAGCAAAGACCTAGCCATACAAATAGGATGATAACTCTGTTCATTAAGCATTGATCCCCATGTGCCCAAGCATGTGAGCTCATTGTTGGCAGGGGAAGAATGACAAAGATGAGGTAAATATAAGATTTTTTTCTAAGTAAAAATAGAGAAAATGAGGACTATATCTGATATCTTTCAAAATGAAAAATACAGCCTAACATGCTGGTCATGGCCCATGGATTATGCAGAGCAAATTTCAAAATTAAACTTTTTGATCCTATTTCATATTCACAGTTCTTTGCATGTTTATACATCCACCTTCCTTTTGACTATATATATATGTATGTATATACATACACATCTGCAACTATGTAGAAAAGACAGAGGTGGGATAGAGTAGTAGAATAACATTGGGAGATGACCAATGTAAAATATTGAATGAAAGCAGAAGGGCAGACAGGAGTAGAACTGGAAGAAGAGAGGGACAGGTTGTCAGGGAGAGCCCTTAGATCCCACCCTGCTGCCCTAAATCACAGAGTAACTGGCATTCCCACCTTCAGATGGCCACACTCCCATGAAGAATCTGTTTCCATGACTCTGAAACTTACCACTGAAGACACGTAGGTACACAGGTTTACTTTGGTTAAAATTTTTGTTCTGACATCTGTATTCTCCACTGTTCAAGTGATTAGCATTCACAATGTCAAAACTTGAGCTTGTCACGTTTAAATCGGTGTTATTGAAGAACCAGCTGGTGGAGTCAGATTGGAGGGTATCGTCCCCAGAACATGTAAAAGTCACATTCTCTCCCCGAAATATTCTATTCCATGGGGGATACAAGGATACCTCAGATTTCCTAGTAGCTTCAGAAAGATCAGACTGTAGAGAGATATCTAGAGGGGGAAAATAATCATTGAAAACTGCCCAGGCCCCAAAGGGCAGACAAACAATAGTCAATCAATCGTCATTCTCTTCTTCACTGCTGGTGGTAGGAAACTGTCCTGCTCCTAAAGACTAAGGGAAGGAGGAAAGAGTGGTGGTTCCAACCCAGAGTAGAAAGAAGGGATGCAAGACAGGCTACCAGCAAACAAACCAACATATTTACTATGTGACAGAGGATAATTCTATACCTGTTGACTTCAGTTTCAATCCCTGTGAATGAGGACAGCAATCTCTCTCCAGGTGCAAAGACTGGTATGTAGTGAGTGTTCATTTAAATACTTATGGAACAGGTGAATGAGTGAACAGTAGATGAATAAAGGTGTTGGGCTACATGAATGCAAGGTATCTCCCAGCCTAAAATTTGTATGATTATATATTGTGAGTACATATGGAGTGAAAAAAGTGTATCAATTCTGGAAGGTGGTAAAAGCACCAAGAGGACTGATTTTTGAAGGCTTTCAGAAACCAAGAAATGTAGAGTGACTTTGGACAGAAACCAAGGAAGCAAGCAGCTCTGTGGTGACGAGGAGTATGAGAATGCCTTCGGGAGAGAACCAGACCTGTATCCAAGGGACTGATGTGAAAATCCAGCCCTTTGTTAGCTGTGGAACTTTCACAACTCACTTAACCTCACATCCTCAACTATAAAATGGCAATAACAATGATGGTGATGATGCAAGAATTGAAGGCAATTATGGACAAAAGACTGAGTCATTTAGATGTTTGACTGACAAGACCGTTGCCTTAAAGAGATGGGGGTGGTAAGAGAATGCAATTGTGTGTGAGAAATTTTGAAGGGAAAGAAGACAACATGGCCAGGTGGAAATGAGAAGTGGGTTGGACAGAGAGGGCAGGTCCAGGGTCATTAGAAAACAGACAAAGGGATGAGGGGAAGCAGAGAGGGAGAGAAACACACCAAAACGCGTGTGAGCAAGCACAGGGGACTCATCTGCTCTGCACTGTTCAGAGCTGCAAAAGCCCAGAGAGAAGTTAGTGTCTGTCCCTTTACTCCTGAGGACAGGATCTAAAATTGGTGATGGTGCACAGCATGGGGTTGTGGGGGTTAACCACTCCTCAGCAGCCTGACCCAGGGGGAGATGGAGCTTCTCTCTTTCCTTGACCTCCCTCCTTCTTTCTGGGAGCTGCCAGAGCAGCTGCAACTGCCTTGCCACTTGGCTTCATCTTAGGCACTGCTCAGCCCAGTCTCGGCTGCTAATCGGCTTATCTCCATTGCAGAGTCCCTGGGAAATGGCCCACAGTTTACACATGGCCTAGAAGTCCCCACAAGCCTGTCCATGCTCCCACCCATGGCTCCGAGGTCCACCTTGCCCCCCAGGAGGGGTGTCTGACCCTCTACTCACAGAAAAGCATCAGAGCGGTCCTCAGCAGGACAGAGGGGCACATGACGGGAGGCATCTCCTCTTGCCCCAGGTGCCGACTGGGCTGGAGAGGTCCAGGACCCTAAAGCAGACTTGAAACCAAAAAGGAGAAGGAAACGTGTTCTGTGTCATATCTGATTAGCTCATCAGTTATGCTTGGGTTTGTCTATTTCTCTGAAGATAATCTTCAGATGGTGCCTAACTGGGCAAATTGATATTCAGCTCTATGATTTCCCCTCCCACCTCTGGATGCATACCTGGAATCTGGTGGGAGAGAGGCGCAGGCCTAGCACACAGTCAGGGCTTTCTTACATTGTTCATCATGGGTAACTCTTTAATCTGCAACTTGGAGGGGAGAGTAGATGAAAACAGCAGCAGTTAATTATTCTGATATGCATCTGGCACTGTGCTAAACATGGCTGCTATTTCATTTCAATCATTCAATAACCCTGTGAAGTAAGTGCCATCATCCACATTTTGCAGACAGGAAGACTGGTACCCAGAGACTTCAAGCACCTCGTCTGTGGTCCCACCTACTAAACGGCTAAGTGCAGATTCAAACGTTGACAATCTAACCCCAGAGTAAAACTCCTTATCATGACCATGTTTATTCATGTCCACGAATAAGTTGGCAACTGCATAAATTTTGATCAGAGCTCCCTACCCTCTTGTTGCCTAATTTCCTGCTGATCTATCCATTCAAAAAATCCAAATTTATCTGATTTATCTGATTCCCTAATCCAAAAATCCAAATTTATCTGTTTATCTGATTCCCTAATGATTCCACTACCTGACCAAACTGGAGATATTTTCAAAGACCTCTGCTTTTCCTCATGGTCCTGACAGGGCTCACAAGACAGGAAATAGATGACAAACCATAACTTGCAGGCATCTCGGCCCTATTTGTTTTATTTTCTTCCCGAGCTTCTGTCCATGTTCATCTTTCTAATTTTCCAGCATGATGGCCTTTCTCCTTTGCACCCACATCAGTTGCCCCCTTCCAGGTTCCGGGCTCAGTTCTCCTGTTTTTTAGCTCTAGGCCAAAGCAGGTCACCTTCTTCTGGGATTTGGTATTGATTATAATAATGGAGATGATAAATGCCATGAGATTTATGGTGGCTTGCCATTTCCAGGTTTTTTTGTTTGTTTTTTGTTTGTTCCCCCACATGCAGTATGTATATGAGCCGCGCCGAGACTGTGAAGTGGGCAGGGCCCTGGAAAGTAAGCAAGAGCCTAGGTCATCACACCGTGCTTTTCCTCAATCAAGTCTATCGAATTGAACATACATATCTCACCAAAGCTGGCTTCTATGGATTTAGAGAATATGGGGCTAAAAAGATTCATAAATACTCTCAGATAACAAAGATTAGTGATTGGTCCCAAGGTTTTAGAGATAGCTCTTCTAAGAAAACAACAAGCTATTTTGAAAAGTGAAAGTTGCTTGTGTGTAATGATCTGAATTCAGATATTCCTAAGAATTATATGATTAAGGTTTCCCTGTGAAGTAGAATAATAATGATATTCAGAATACTGTTTTACTATATTAATAAGAGTTTAAAAAATAATAAATGTGTCAATGCATTACACAGCACAGGTATGTAAATGATGTCCAATAAATACATCTTCCCCTCTTTAACTGCTATTATTTATTAAAGACATGCATTTCAACTGGGAGAGACATGCATTTCAACTGGGTCAAGGCAACTGGCAGCTCACATAGGATGCTTTATTCAATAACTAAGATCATATGCCAGCACGCTTTATGGAAACGATCTCACTCTCTTCATGTTGTGAAGGAAAGCACATAAAGGAAGACTAGAACACAAGAAAAATTGTTTGATGAAGATAAGGAGGGAAGGAGAGGAGAGATGTGGGGAACATATAGTTTTGGGGGTGTTGTCAGAGGACAATACTTGAATACTAAGATCTGGGAAGTGTCAGAGAAATTCACCACTTTTTGTGAATCTTTCCAAGTAACTCATGGGACACTCTTTTTTTTTCCCTAGACAGTGAGGCTAGAATACAATTGTTCTTCAGAAACAATCACTGTCCCAAGACTCAAATATTTAAAATTGTCTCCATGTCTCCAACTGTCCCAACAGCTCCTACTGAGTAGGTGAGGGTGTGGAGCTCCATGAATATATGTTTTCCTAGCCGGTGACTATATGTTTTGCAGTCAAACACTTCATTTGTTCATATTCCAAAGCTTTTGTTTCAGTGGCCAGCACTGACATGAGGGTAATGCTTTGGTAACAGTGGCATCAAAGAACTAGTAGAGTCAACCAAAGCCATTCATTAAAAAACAAAACAAAACAAAACAAAAAAACCAACCATCCACCTCTAAAACAAAACAACCAAAACCAGCAACATCAACATCAGAAAGAAGAAGCCATACCTAATTTCATAGCAGCCAAAGGAACAAAACCAGAAAAAGAAACCATTCAAAAGGAACAAATAAATACTGAGATTCAGCAATTGCTCAGCTTCCCCTTTGCAAAACAGGTTGATATGTCAATTGGATTCCACACATACTTACCTTATTTTTTTAAAAAAAATTCTCCAAATTTTATATCTACAATCTGGATAGAATGTGCTGCCAGCTTCTTGTCCCCAGCCCACAATAGCAGGGCCTGAGCTCACCAAGGTCAACAGAGTATGTTAAATCTCACTTCTTACCACAAGCTTTTGATCTGTGTCTCCATCTTCAACACTCATCAACAGCAATTCTATCTTCCAATTTTCACCTTTTGTTGGTCCCTGGAAACCTTAACCTATATTTTACTTTGTGGCACTGGAGAAAGAAGCTCATGTGATCACATTTGAACCACGGGGTCTGTGAATGGCAAGGTGTCCCTGCAGCTAGAGCCCAAGTAGAAGAGCTTTTGTGATTTGAGTCATGCCGCCAGAACAGGGATCACCCACAGGGTGTCTGTTACTTTTTGTTCTCCAAAACTGGGAAGCAGACAGAAGTGACAATCTATTGCTTCTTCCTCTCTAGATTCTCCCCCACCAGGCTGTGGCCAGATAAAATTGGATGTGAAATGATAAAAGAGAAAAGCAACTGTCTGTTTGCATGTAGGTGCCTACTGATCTTCAAGGACCAGGGACAAGGCTGCTTGGCATGAAGTCTAGGGACCAGGCTAAGTATATAGAATATCCTGTCTTCTCACTTCCTCCCACTAATTGAATGTGGTTATAGAGTGAGGGAGCCAAGCACAAAGGGGTTAACTGACAAGTCTAAGGACACACAGCTACTAAGTTATAGAGTTAGGGTTTGAACCCAGGAAAGATGGCTGAAGATCTACCCTCTTAATGCAAAATGTATTCCTGTTCATTCAGTCTACACTGTACTTGACTGTCCATGCATTCAAAGTCTCCACACAAAAGTTCCTTGGCTTTCTAGGGATCCATAATCCACAAATAGAAATCATTGATCTAGTGCAATTTCCTTTTTTACACTTCTTTTTCTTGATTGCAGGGGATGATTTTGCAATCCACAGCCATGTAGAGCTGTTAGCAAATTAGTATGTTTCATAACTATGCCTAAAAGGAGAGCTATCAAGAGATGATTGTCTTTTTCCTTTAGATTCATAGGGCTAGTGAACCTGGCCTCCCTTCTGCTGCCTGAGTGGTAGTCACTTAGGAAAGAGAACTCCAAATGGGGGTCTCATGGATTTTCATAATAAAGTCAGTGGTTTAATACATTTTTTAAATTTCTTTTTAAATTTTAAATTTCTTAAATTTTTAAAATTTTTTAATTTATGAATGGTTCCGTGCTTTGGATGGATCCAAAAGAAATAAATGGAAATGCTCAGTACTCCCCAAGTAAATGACACTCAGAGAGAGACAGAGACTGGCTATGCAAGCTTCAGCCTTGATGTGGACAGAGGTTCTTCTCCCAAGAGAGACTCCCGGAAATAATTCCAAAGATGATCCTTTGCCATTTTTAAGAAACTAACTTCTTTCTAACTTGGAAGGGAAATAGTGGAGTTTTTCAGAGAAAGATATGAATGAAGACTAGCTACAAAATACATTTCAAGCAACTGATTTTAATAAAATATGCTATCACTTAAATTAAAAGGAACCATACTATTCTTTAGGATTGATTTCCTACAGACTGTTTATAGTCAAGTCCTATCAGATAGTCAATTTAAAAAGTAGTGGAAGCTCAAAAGTTTTAGGGGTCTAGGTCAAGGCCATGTCAAAAGTTTTAGGGGTCTATGTCAAGGCCATATTCTGGGTATAGATAAGGATGCAATAGACTGATAAAAGATTTCTTAATTCGTATTACAATTCTTGGGAATTCCCTAAAACTACAAAATCCCAAATAAATCCTTGGATAGGGCTCCTAAAATTCCTCAGGGCTGAGCCACGGACCAAGCATGACTTACCCTGTTTATGATGTGACTCGTGGGCATCAGACATCACCTGCCTGTCTTGGGATATGCAACCAGCCACTCATTTTCCAGATGAGGCCTCTTCTTGTAGTCAGGCCTCTTCCCTCTTCTTGTAGGGAATAAGCTGCACCCAAGGTGGCTCAGGCAAATTGATCATGACCTTGACCTTGTAAGCACAATGTTCTAGTCCAGAGACCAAGAAAGTCTTGGACTTGCTTTCATCTCCTCTGGCAGATGCAGTAGTTATAGGGGCTAATCTTGCCTTCAAAATGAGGACAACAGAATGATACGTCTGCTGGGGATAATTCTCAGGGCTACGATGGTATAAAAAATTGTTTTAATGCCAGGTCATCACATAAAATTATAAAAATGAAAAGAATTAAAATAAATTATTAACTATGATATTCTAAGATGGGTTAAGAACAGGAGTTTGATTCTCAGCCCAGGGCTTGATAGGTTGTGTGGCTCTTGGCAAATCACTGGACCTCTCTGTGCCTTGTTCTCACTGGTAAAACAGAGGTGGCAAGGTATCTGTGGTTGAATTAAGTGATTTAATATAGTCAAAGGCTTAGAATGGAGTCAGCAGATAAGCATGCTATTACTATTACTGTTAGTATCATTACTTGTAAAGAGCCTTTAGACTTGAGAGCAGAAGAGAAACAACTCCATTCC